CAGGCCACACGTGGGTAATGGGGACACAGAGTATGGGTGAGTGAGCCGCCCAGCCTTGCAGCTCATGGGAGGGAGTGTGGGGGGCTAAAGGCTGGCCCCTTGTTGGGTTTCCCCCTGATTTATGGACTCATGGGGTGGTCTGTCCCCCTGTGCCTGGAATACCACATCCTGGCCTGGGTCTGTGCCTCAGGCTTAGAGGCTCACCAGTTAATTCCTTTTTTTTTGGAATGACTTGGGGTCCTTCAGCTAACTTTTGTGAAGTGCCTGAGATGAGCCAGGTGCTTGCTAATCTCCTACTGGTTCTTTAACTGAACTCAAAACAACCCTGAAAAGCAGATCCTGTTAGTATCATTTTCTCATCAAGGAGATAAATGCTCAGGAGCTCATGTGGGTTCCCAGCTTCTCCCAGTTAGCAAACACAGGGCTGGGACTTCCACACTGTCTGGCGGAAAAGCCTTCAGCTTCCATGCTTCCAGCATGTTCTGTTTCCCGTGGTATCTTCCCAGTCAACCTGCCACAGTTTCAGGAAGCATGATGCCACAGCAGGGGAGAGGCCTCAAGGGCAGCTCCGTGTGAGGCCAGCACCTGAGGGTTTCTGGGGGGCGGCTTTGCTCAGCATCTCCTGAGATACAGGGCCCATGTTAACCACTTAGGTTCAGATGTGAATCTGGGCCCTCAGGACGGCTCTCCTCTTTTGGGCCTAAAGATGGTGCTTCCAAGTCACCGTCAGAGATGTCAGTCCCATGTCCTGACAGAGAACAAACAGGTCTGTTTCCCTCAGGTAGTTTTGTGGTTTATTTGGCCACATGGTTCGGTGAGGGCTGCTTTATCCTGTGCTCGTGAAGAAAGCCCACCGGCTTTGAATTCAGAGACCCTTGTCCCCATTACTCTCTATCACGTCACTCAGTATTTTCTCATCTGTCCCAATTTTAGGTAATAGTTCACTCATTGACTTTTCATCTCCCCGACCTGAGTCCCCAACGTCTGAGTGCAGGGACCTCAGTTCTCTCATTTGTTGTTGCATCTCTGTCATCTAGCCTCCAGCCAGCCTATAGGAGGTGAAAAACAATCAGATTTTAGATGAATAAATAAAATGAGGGAGAGCTGACTCCAGCCCTGGCTCCACCATTTGAAATCTCTGTGACTTCCAGCCATTTATTCACTTTTCCTTACCTGCAAAATAGACAAAGACCAGCAGTTTTGTAGGACTGTTGAGACATTTGTAGACGACCCATAGAACTCACAAAAGGTAAGCCTCCCGTCCTTCTCTCTCATATAATTGTTAATTAGTGCCTTGACCTGGCTGGGGGGGTTGGGGTGGGAGGATTTTGATTAGAACTTTCCCACACCTGGAAGGCGCTGACGTGCCCAAGCCCCGAGCTTCTGTCTTTTCCCAGGCGGGAGCCAGTGGCCTCCGAGAGCAGCTGCTAGGATGCGCTAACCTCTGCCAGCAAGGCCGTGGCACAGATCTGCTCGGGCTGCTGCAGAAACCCTGGCCAGCTCCAATTAGGAAGCTCTTCCGTGGAGCCGAAGGTTTTGAGGTTAACCCTGAAGAAACAGCTCCCTCTACACCAGCCTTCTAATTAAATGCTCGCGTTTACTTTCCAGAGTTCATTGAATCATTTTACCCGCATCGTGGGGCTTGACAAAGCCCAGTTGCTTTGAGTAATGGAAAAGTACAAAATGAGGAGACTTCAGGGAAGCCGTCCAATGACACAAGCCCTGCTGCTTCTGTCCCCACCTGGGTGGGGACCCCGCGTGCAGGAGGAGGGCCCTGTCAGGGAATCATTTCCTGATCCCTGCCTTGGACTTGGTTCTTGATACCCTGAAACCCACGATGCGAAGTAAGGATCTCAGTCTACTCACAGGGTGACTCAAGGCTCTGGGGCCACAGAATGATTCCTGGGAATTCCTGGGAACTTCTTGGTACCCAGGTACTATGCTGGGCTGTATTGTGTGTGACAGTGGTGCTACCCTTAAGATACTGACAGTATTGTTGGGAGACAGGGTTCATACAGAAAATATTGCCGGAATACCTTTGTGCTGATCCAGGCAATAATATTATAAAGCAAGTAGGCCCCACCATTCATTCATTGCTTACTGTGTTCTAGGTCCTTTAAATACGTTCTCTTTCTTCATACTCCTAACCTGCTCTCAGAGGATCAGCTAACACAGTCATTTCCCTAAGCAGGGGGCAGGTTGGGCTTCAGGGGACCAGCTTCTGGTTGGGTTCCAGCATCCCCACCAGAAACTAAAGGAGAGGCTCTAACAGGTAGGAAGTCCCTCTCTGGGTTTCCTTGTACCCCCACCTCCTACCTCCCAGCAGCTCCATCCTGCATGGGGCGGTCACCTACCATCCCCAGCAGCAATGGGACCCTCAACAAGATCTTCAGACCTTCACCAGCTTTCAAGCAGAGGGCACACCTGGGCATCAGGGAGACGCCTGGTGATGGATGACCCCTGATTTGTCTGGACCCTGGGTCTCAGAGCCTGGTTGCTGAAGCAGTAGCAGCAGTTTGGAGTGGGGCCCAGCAGGTGGATTTTTAACAGTCTGCAGGTGATCCTGATGCACATTCAAGTGTAAGAACCACTGGTCCGCGTTCTCAAACCTGCCTGCGTGTCGGAATGGCCTGAGGACTGTTTTGTGGGGTTTTAAAAAATTATGATGATTAACTTAATTTTAAAGTAAAATAAGCTTCACTTTTGGAAACAATTTTAGACTTACAGCAATATTGGGGAGGTAATGCACAGAGTTCCCTCCCATTATTAACTCAGCTCCCTCCCATTATTAACATCTTACATAAGAGCGGTGTGTTTGCTACAGTTGATGACGGGTCCTGATACACTGTCATTAACCAAAGTCCTTACTTTATTCAGGTTTCCTTAGTTTTTGCTTAATGTCTGTTCCAGAATCCCATCTAGGATCTCACATTACAGTGAGTTGTCGTGTCTCCTTAGGCTCCTCTAAGCTGTGCTGTTTCTCTGACTTTTCTGGTTTTTGATGACCTTGACCATTTTGAAATGTACTGATGAAGTATTTTGTAGAGTGCCCCTCAATTTGGATTTGTTTCATCTTTTTTGCATGCCTAGAAACGAGTTGTAGGTTTTTGGAAGACCACGTGTTGTGTTGAGGACATATGCCATCACCGTGACTCATTACTGTGGATGTTGGTCTCCGTCACCTGGTTGAGGGGACTTTGCCTTCTCCATCTACCCCAGTCAGGTTTCTCCGCCGGCCAGTTACAACCCCTGCCCCCCAACCTTCCATGCTGTGCTGTGCGGAAGGAAGTCACCAGCTCAGGCCACACTTAACGACTGGGGCTCCGCCTCCCTGTGGGCAGGGAATCTACAGAAGCTGTTTGGAATTCTTCTATGTGGGAGATCTGTGTCTTCTCGCCCACTTATTTATGAATTTGATCACTTACTGACATCGGTGTGGACTCACGGGTACTGATTTTATGCTTCAGTTATAATGCAATTCCAGTCTGTCGTGTTATCCACGTTGGTCAACCTTTGACCATCGGGAGCTCTTTCAGTTGGCTCCTCTGTCCTTTTGACATGTGTCTTCACCGCAGAGATTTTTTAACTACTTCCTTCCTTTCCACCACCACAAGCTTATCTTGTTTGTTTCCTGCCTCAGGCCTGGAATCTGCCGTTTCTTCAGGGAATCCTGGTTCCCTTTCCTGAGAGTGGTATCAGAAACCAACACCTGGGCCCTTGGTATGCTCGCTGCTATTGGGGTGTCAGTGGTTCTGGGTCCTCTCAGCTGACAGGTGGAGGAAATACACACGTGTGTAGTGCCCTATGTACACACACGTACCTGTAATTGTGTCCGAATGTAACTGTCTCTATCTGTGTTACAGATTCATGAGGTCATCCTGGTATCTTCCAGTGTGGACCCACTGCCACATGGATCTTTCTGGCCCCCTCCCCTTGCTTATCTGTAAAGCCCTGCTCCACTGGTGAGAAGCATTGCTCCTGCCATCTGCCTTCCATTCCTTTAACTGTTCAGTTCTGGCACACGTGGATAATGGTGTCAGAATCTGAACTCTCACCCCCATCCATGGGAATCGGATCTACCAGCTGGAGCACAGGGTTTCTCCGTGGACTATCTTGCCTTTGGTTTTACAAACTCCTCCAGTCATTCCTGGAGTTTCTTAGGTGCCGAGGGCCTCCCACCCTCTTTGGTGAGGATATTTCACATGTTGGTCCTGTAGTTTGATTCTTTGATCACATGCTGCGTGTCATCCTTGGACTCCCCCAGTCTCGTCAATGTGTTTATTTTAATTTGCATCCTTTAAGCTTCACTGTCTGTGTGCAAAGCTCTTTGGATTTTGACAAATGCTTAAATGTCCCACATTCACCATCATGGTATCCTATAGAGTCGGTTCATCGCCCTCAGAATCCCGCGTTTCCCCTGTTCCACCTCCTCTTCTTCCTGATCCCTAGAAACCGCTGATCTTTTGACTGATTCTGTGTAATGGGAATCGTGCTGGCCTCTTTCACTTAGCAATATGCATCCAAGATTCATCTGTGTACGTTCATGGCTTGACGATGAATTCTTTTTATGGCTGAATAATACTCCACATTACAAACGTACCAGCTTGTTTAGTCATTCGCCGAGGAAAAGACATACTGGTTGCTTCCAGTTTTGGGTGATTATGAATAAAGCTGCAGTGTTTTCATTGGTCTATTTGGTTTTGTGGCCATAAGTTTTCGAAGTTGTGGGTTCCTTGCTGCTGAATGCACATGAGCACAGGTAGAGGCTCCCAGGTAGGTATGTGGGAGGGGGATCGAGGGTCATAGGGGGCCCTCCACAGAGAGCGCTCTCCGTCCTGTTTCAGATTTGGAGATGAGGCAGTTAAGCCCCGGGCCCTTCTCCACCCAAGATCAGAGGGTGCATGGAGGTCCCACCACATCCGATCTGAACGTGCTGTGATTGCCCTCTCGTGCAGCTGTTCCTATGTCAGTTTCTCACTTTGGTTATCTGATTTTGGAAGGCTCTGCTCTGACCAACGGGGGATTAAACCTGCACAGCCCCGTGAAGAGGAAGCTGGAAGCAGAGAAGGACTATGTCTTTGACAAGAGGCTCAGGTACAGCGTCCGCCAGAACGAAAGCAACTGTAGGTTTCGGGACATTGTTGTGCGGAAGGAAGAGGGGTTCACACACATCCTGCTGTCCAGCCAGACCTCGGACAACAACGCGCTGACCCCCGAGGTGAGAGGCAGGGGACCCCAAGGGAGGGTCAGGCTGGAGAGGGCTTCTCATTCAGAATGGGGCACTGGCTCTCTCTCTGTTCCATCAGGAGCCTACGATGGTAGCCAGCACACACGCAAACTTGACTCTGGGACACCATGTGCTGATGACCTTATATACATTATCCATTTGATCTTTGTGATCAGGTAGTCATACTATCCCATTTGACAGATGAAGACCCCAGTGAATGGAGAGATTTGGAAAACTGATCCAGGTCCCAGAATTAGTCACAGGGCAGCTCCGTGTATCTTGGGCTTTTCCAAGCGTGTCAAATTTCCTTGCTTTGGAAAGAATCCTAGTCACTCAGCTCACTTACTTTTTTTCAATTGAGAGAGAATTCACATACCATAGATTTCACCCTTTTAACATGTACATTTTTAAGTATATTCACAACGATCTAGTTCTAGCACATTTCCATCACCCCCAAAGGAAACCCCATGCCCATTGCCATCCTCTCCCCATTTTCTCTCACTAAGTCCCCGGTGACTACGAATCTACTTTTTGTATCTACCCGTTTGTCTGTTCTGGACATTTCGTGTGAACAGAAGCATATTGTATGTGGTCTGTGACCAGCTTCCTCCACTGAACACCGTGTTTTCAAGGTTCATCCATGGAGTAGCACACGCCCGTGCTTCCTTCCTTTCCCTCGTATGGATGTGCCACGTTTGGTCCATCAGTCGTTCAGTGATGGACGTTTGTCTTGGTTCCATCTTTGACTACTGTGTTGTGATGAATATCACTGCAGATGTTTGTGTACGAGTTCGCATGTGAATGTGTTTTCAGTGCTCTTGGCTGTTTTCCCTCCTTATGGAACTGCTGGGTCATATGGTAACTCTGCATTTAACTCTTTGAGGAACTGTCAACCTGTTTTCACAGTGGCTGTGCCATTTTCCATTCCCACTGGCCATATACAAGGGCTCTAGTGTCTCTGCATCCTTGTCAACACTTGTTACTATCTGTTCTTGTTATTGTAGCTCTTGGAGTGGGCGTGAGGTGGCATCTCACCGAGGTTTTGGTGTGCATTTTCCTGATGACTAATGATGTTAGGTGTCTTTTCATGAGCTTATTGGTTGCCTGTCTCTTTTCTTTGGAAAAATGTCTATTGACATCTTTTGCCCCTTCTTAAAATTGTTTTTTAACTCTTGAGTTTTAAGACTTCTTCGTCAGACATTTGATTGGAAAAATATGCTTTCATTCTGTGATTTGTTACTTACTTTCTTTTTTTTTTTAATTTCTTTTCAGTGTTCCAGAATTCATTGTTTATGTACCACACCCAATGCTCCATGCAGTACATGCCCTCCATAATACCCACCACCAGGCCACCCAACTTCCCACCCCGTGCCCCTCCAAAACCCTCAGATTGTTTTTCAGAGTCCACAGTCTGTCATGGATCATCTCCCCCTCTAATTTCCCCCAATTCACTTCTCCTCTCCATCTCCCAATGTCCTCCGTGCTATTCCTTATGTTTCACAAATAAGCGAAACCATGTGATAATTGACCCTCTCTGCTTGACTTATTTCACTCAGCATAATCTCTTCCAGTCCCGTCCATGTTGCTACAAAAGTTGGGTATTCATCCTTTCTGATGGAGGCATAATACTCCATAGTGTAGATGGACCAGCTCTTCCTTATCCATTTGTCCATTGAAGGGCATCTTGGCTCTTTCCACAGTTTGGCAACTGTGGCCATTGCTGCTATGAACACTGGGGTATGGATGGCCCTTCTTTTCACTACATCTGTATCTTTGGGGTAGATACCCAGTAGTGAAATTACAGGGTCATAGGGAAGTTCTATTTTTAACTTCTTAAGGAATCTCCACACTGTTTTCCAAAGTGGCTCACCAACTTGCATTCCCACCAACAGTGTGAGAGGGTTCCCCTTTCTCCACATCCTTTCCAACACATGTTGTTTACTGTCTTGTTAATTTTGGCTATTCTGACTGGTGTAAGGTGGTATCTCGATGTGGTTTTGATTTGAATCTCCCTGATGGCTAGTGACAATGAACACTTTTTCATGTGTCTGTTGGCCATTTGTATGTCTTCATTGGAGAAGTGTCTGTTCATGTCTTCTGCCCATTTTTTGACGTGATTATCTGTTTTGTGTGTGTTGAGTTTGAGGAATTCTGTTAGATCCTGGATATCAGCCCTTTGTACTGTCATTTGCGAATATCTTCTCCCATTCTGTGGGTTGTCTCTTTGTTTTGTTGACTGTTTCCTTTGTTGTGCAGAAGCTTTTGATCTTGACTTTGTCACTTTCTTGATGGCATCCTTGGATGTACAGTGCTTAAAATTTTGATGAAGTCCATTTTACCTGTTTTTTCCACCTTACCTTTTTAACGCTAATCATGCTTATATTTTAAGTGAACACAACAGGGAGACAGTGAATACTTAATGCCATTGCATAGATAGCACCATTTAAGATCTGGGGTACTGAGGGGGAGCAGTGAAGAGATGATGAATATTTTAAAGAGATTCTTGATGGTGCCAATGTGGGAAAAGACTCATCCAAGAAGACTTCTCCAACTAGATTGACCTGCCACCGGGTGGTGGAGTAGTAACTGATGAACAACACCATGACCGTGCCAGCTACCAGCAGCTCTTTGTCTTTTGTATTTGCCATTTACCCATTTCCTTCCCCCAGGGCCCTCCCAATGTAGGGTTCTTATGATCCTCTTACAGATGAGACTGTGCAGGTTTAGAGAACTAGGCCTAGGGTCCCGTCAGCTTCAGGGGGCAGGAATCTTGCCACTTGTGCCCACCATATTGTTTCTCACACTCAGCCTAGTGCCCGGCCCGGAATGACGGCCACAGGGCAAGAGATGTAGCTAAATCCTTTGCAGTTTGTGGGGCTGCTGGTCACCTGCTGCCCCTCCTCTAAGCATGGTGTTTTGAGGTCTTTCTCTTGCACGGTCAGAAACCACTTTAGAGCGCTCTGCTGTGCAGACCTTGGTGGTTTACCCCAGGGGCTGCCCTTTGCATGTCGGTACACCTGAAAGCCTTGTTATTTTCAGCTCATCGTGAAACATCTGCACGAGACCAACTCTTCTTAGATTTTTTTCCTACTTCACTGCTTCTTGAAAGCATGCTTTTAAAAGGCACAGCATTTTCCTTCAATAAACCGAATAAATGTGGAGTCTCCCAGTTCATCCTGTCTCTTTGGAGTAGCTTTATGTGTTAACCATTGCCTATTCAGCATGGAAGAGGCGGGATCTCCAGCTGATATCAGGTGCACAGGTTCTCAACTCCAGAGATGAGGGCTTGGCGAATTAGGAGTTCCGTTCCTAATTGGTGCCTGTCAGAAACAGAATGGGAGGAATGGAAAAAGAAAATACTGGTTTGTTGTTTTCGGCTGCCTGGACGACGGGAATGGGCCGACTCTATAGAAAAGATGGCAAGCTGGGCAGAGCAGCCCTGAGAGAAAGATCCCAAAGAAAAGAAGAGGTGGTGTTAGCAGAGGAGTATAGATTTTGGAGTCTAGTGGACCAGGCTCAAATCCTGCCTCCACCAGCTCACCTTGGGAGGTGACCTTGCCTCTTTGAGCATCCTCATCCCTACAAGTTATAGTATATCTTCCTTGTGGGATGAGAGAAACTGTCTGCCCGGAGGCTTGCAGAATGCCTGGCAAGTGGGAAGCGTTCAGTAAGTGTTCCCATCATTGTGAAGATGAAGCAGAGGGGATGTCAAGGCGTCCAGCAGACCCAGCCTTCCTTACTCAAGGAGCAACCGGGACAAGGCCACCCTGCATGTCATAATTGAATTTCTTTTTCTAGTTGTATCTGGGATATTGGTTGGATTGGCCTCAGGGGCAGAAATTCATACATTACTGGGTGTGTTAACTAGATTCTGAGGCTAGCGGGTGTGTTATGATATTGCTCCTGTCTGGAATATAGCAAAGAATCAGGAAAATAATGAAAATGCCCCTTTAGGAAAGAAGAAGCAAAATAGATTGCTCAAAGTGTTGGTGATGAAAAGCCCATCCACTTCCCCATTAGGAGCAGACCCCAAGGCCTCTCTCAACTCCCGGTTTTGTGCAGTGCTCCAAGCCACTGTGAACTGTACCACCACTATCCGAGGGAGCACACAGACATGTGGGAGTCACACCTCATACCCTCTTGATCATACCCACTGGACGCACACCACCCCCAAGGCGTATTAACTTTCATCCTTGAAGAGCCCACTCATAGGTTTTCTTCTCTCTGTTTCCATCAGGACCATTATATTCTGTCTGGATTGGTGTAACAACTTGCTAACAAGCCTGCTCTTTCAGCTTTTCTACCTGTAATCTGTTGTCTTCAGGGTGGGCAGAGTGACCTGCCAGGAATACAAATCTGATCAAGCCACCCCTTCTATGCACATGTGCGCACACACACACACACACACACACACATTTGCACACACTTCACATATGTTGGTGATTCTTAGTTGCTCTGATTAAGAATCAAAACTGTTCATGTGGCTGGCGAGGCTGGTATATTCTGACCTGCCCACCTCTGCAAGCCTCCTTGCCTTATACCACATGTCCACCTTCTCTTCTCCTGTCCTCTATCAGCCTGACTTTCTTTCATGCTCACATGAAAGGGCCCAGGGCCTTTGCATATACCATATACCTGTACTTCTGACTGAAACATCCTTGCCTAGTGGCCTTGCACTTCATTCAGGTCTCAGCTCAACCACCACTTCCACAAGATCCCTCACCACCCCTCAGCTCCCTGCCCAGGTTACATCCACCTCTCAGAGGAGCTTTCCTAGCACTACACAGCCCTCCCTTCTGGAACTTGTTACAGTTTTTAATGTACATGTATTTGTGTGATAATCTGTCTGGTTCCTCCCACTACACTGTAAACTTGTTGAGGAGGTAAATACCGTGCCAGTCATTCAAATCAATAAACATTTATTAAGTTTTTTTATGTGTGAGGTTCTGGACTAGGTGTTAGAAGGGTTATACAGATAAGTAGAAGACTCATCTGTTTTAGTCTTTAAAGAATTGTATTCGTTATCTATTCCTGCATAATAAATTTCCCTAAACTTAGCATCTTAAACGATGAATGTTATCTCACAATTTCAGTGGGTCAGGGATCCTGGCATGACTTAGTTGGATGCGTCTGGCTTGGGGTCTCTCAAAGTCAAGGCATGTTGCCTGGGGCTTCAGTCTCAGCTGAAGGCTCAGTGGGGGAGGATCAACTTCCAAGCTCACCCAAGTGGCTGCTGGTGGGTCCTCACTGGCCAGAGACATCAGTGCCCTGCCTTCTGTCTTCTCTGTATGGGCTCCTCACAACATGGTCTGCTTCCCCAGACTGAGAGCTCCGAGGAGGAGTTAGAACAAAAGCGGACAGCCAAGACAAGCCGTGTCTTTTTGTATCCCAGTCTCCTCTTGAACAGGACAGGCTGTCCGTCTTGCCTTACCTTGTGGTTAGGCATGAGTCATGAAGTCTGTTCTACACTCACTGGCGGGGGGGGATGCCACAAGGGTATGACTCCCAGGGAGGGGATCGTTGTCAAGCAGGAGGTAAGGTGAGGCAAGAACACTCACATTCTATAAGGGGGCTTGTCACAAGTGTCATAGCAGGGACACGTGGGGTATTGGGAGAGGCAAGAGTTGGCATTTAGTCAGAGATATTTGGGAAAGCATTCGGGTTGCTGATTTCAGCAAGTAGAGATGCAATAGAGAGAGGGACTCTGGTCTACTCTCCCTTTCAACCCACTTCTAATGAATTTGGTCTCGCTGGTTCCAACCCATGGCAGATTAGAAGATAGAAGTAGTGGGGCTGGGTGCGGGGTGGGGGAGAGCGTGCTTTCTCTAGCAGATGCTGACATCTGGAGCAAGTGGCAGCTAGCACGTGTCTGGCAAGGGCAGTAAATCTCAAGAACATATTTAGGGCTTCAGAATGTATAGCAGTCTTGGACCATTTGTTACAGAGGCACTCCCCAGGAGCCTCTGAGGGCACTGGTCTGTTACAGCCCAGCAAGTGACCATGGAGAGGTGGTTCCGTGGGTGCAGCTGAGGAGTTTAAGAAAGCAAGAGAGCAATCATTTTAGAACGTTTTACTTTAAACAAACCAAGTACGTAATGCAATTTGGAGCCCTTCAAGGAGGCAGAACCTCAGCCAGGAGTCCAAATTGGATCATTGACACGAGAAAAGCAAAGGAAAGCTATACTAACTAGACACGACTTTCTTTACATTAAAAATATATATAAATATATAGTTTATACTTTCCTCGCATGAATGAAACGCAGATTTACTTTCCATTTAATTCATAAAGGAGCTGGGTGTTTTGTTTGATTTTGTCTTTACTAATTGACAAGCCAGTGTGACCTCAGAGAGAGAGAGGCCACTCTCTGCATCGCGTGTGGAATGGCAGCTCACGTCTTAACAGCATGCTTTTCTTTTATTTGCCTCTCAGAGAAATAGAGTCGTGGATTGTTCAGAGTGTGTCTATTTCTGGAGGCAGATGGATTAAAGGACCCACACGCTAGTGGCCTCTTGGCTCTTTTGTTGTTCAAAATGAATCTGTGGCTTATGTCCTGGTAGAATGGAAGGTGCCTCTGCCATGCTCACAGAGCACAGGCTGGGAGATTCTCCATTCAAAATGACATCCAGCCCTGGTTTTTTCCCCCACTAAAATTCACCCATTTATTTAAGCCATCCTACAATACAGCGTGGTAGAAAGAGAAGGGATTTGGGGGTGAGATGCATATCATGGCTCTGCCTCTTGCTGCTGACCTCAGGCAGCTCCATGCCACTCCCCTGAGTCTCCCTTCTATTACCTGCGAGATTGGGATACCACATTCCCTCTTATATGGGATTTTTGTTTGGAGTAAAATACATGGAAGTTTCCTGCTGCAATCCCTGGCACCTCCAAGTGCTTAATAAACTGGTTCTTTAAAAAGTATAATTTTAAAAACATGGCTCCCATAATAGTTTCCCATTGTACCCTATGATAGTGCCTATTGAAAAATTAATAACGATCCCTTAAAAGCCTGTTCACTTATTGTCTCCCCAGTTGGACTCTCAGCTCCACACAGGCAAGCGGATGCCTTATTTTCTCTTACCATGCCGTTTCTGCTCTTATTCACTTATTTTTCCCTCCTCCCCTCACTTCTGTTGGATCGAGTGATTGAGCTTTCTTTGTTTTAATCCCCTCCCCCTTCATTGTAATCCATGTGCATTTAAGAAGCTATCCTTAAGTTCTGTACACAGAGTGAAGCCTAAACGTCATCCTGTCACCTCTTCACCACGCCCAGACCTAGAACCTCGGCATGTGGTCGTCATTCCTTCTCTCATCTGATGCGCTATTACCACCTGGACCCCAGTTCTACACTTGTGCAAACCTTCAGCCTCGGTCGGTCATTATCAGTCTGATGATTTTATGGCCATTCTTATATTGATTTGTCAGCACATTCACCATGTTTCTTTGTTGGCTGTTACTCCATGCATGTCCCGTTTTTCTTTCTGAATATAGCTTTCTTCTTTCTGAAGTGTATCCTTTTTAAATTCTCTCAGCAAGGGTGGGTCTAAGAGTGGTAAAGATTCTTTTGCTGTAAACTCCTACCTTTTACCCTTGCTTTTGGATGATAGTTGAGCTGGGTACAGAATCCGTGTCTGATGGTTGTCTTCCTTGGCACCTGGAAAATTCTAGGAGTTCTGATGCCAAAGCCCCCTTCCCAAGTGCTACCCACAAGCCATGCAAAAGTCTTAGTTGAATTAAGGACGAGCAAGAGTATAATTGAACCTGGCCTTCTAGAGAAGGCTAACATACCTCACCTGGGCTGTGCACAGGAATTTTTTTCCCACATCTTGGAAAGGGCTAAACATGCAAATGCTGGAAGAAGATTTGCAGAGATTTACCCAGGATTACATGGCTCCAGGCCACGCTTCCCAAGTCTGAGGCCAGTGACCTCACTGCCACCTTCTTAGCACTCTGCCTGCTTTGGGGATGCTGCAGGGGAGCTCTGGTTTTGGTGTTTCTTTGCTTAGTCTGGATGTGGCTTGAATTCAGGAGGGTCTTCCTGCAGAGGAAGAGAAGATGCAGGCTCGAGGTCTGAAAGCCTCTGGCCTATAGGTAGATAGTTAACATCCCTGCCAATCCATCTCTGCCCGCAGATCATGAAGGAAGTCCGGCGAGCACTGTGCAACGCGGCCACAGATGACAGCAAACTTCTGCTTCTCAGTGCAGTGGGCAGTGTATTCTGCAGTGGCCTGGATTACTCCTACCTAATTGGCCGGTTGTCCAGTGACCGGAGAAAGGAGAGTACCCGGATTTCAGAAGCCATCAGGTAAGCTCTGCTCATGTTTGGACACTTTGGGATCTGCTTCCTTCTTGAGAAATGTAGCACATAAAAATACAGACTGCTCAGTTAAATTTGAATTTCAAACAACAAAGAAAAATTTTTTATCATAAGTCGATCCCATGCAATATTTGGGATATACTTATGCTAAAAAATTATTTGTTTTTTATCTGGAATTGGGATTTTAATTGGGCATCCTGTATTTTTCTGCCAAAACTAGGGTGCCTTTGTCCTCTAGGTTAGATCCCACTTTATTCTCTTGATCAAAAAGAGATTTTATTTCTTTGTATTAAGCCCAGTATCTGGTAACACCCAGTTGTTATCCATGCTACTCCTGCCCTCTGCCCGATGGTACAACTGTTGATTTTTTGGGTGTTCCTGTGTCTTGAGGCTGACATGGCTCCACACTGGGAAGAGGATGGAGGGTTACCCTGGGTATCTGTGCATTTGCAGACCCAGCAGGGTAGGGAGTGCTTCCCCCTCTCTTGCTGCCTTTGGGACAGAAGTTGGGATCCTGGGGCTGACATCTGATCCCCACAATTAGTATCTCTTTTGGGACCCTGAAGGGTAGTTATTTCCCCAGTATTTACAGATTTATTTTATCTTTTTAAATTTATTTTAATCAATTTGTTAATTAATTTTTTATTTTTTCTTATGTTATTCTAGTCACCATACAGTCCATCATTAGTCTTTGATGTAGTGTTCCATGAATCATTGCTTGTATATGACACCCAGTGCTCCGTGCAATCCATGCCCTCCTTAATACCCATTACTGGGCTCACCCATTCCTCCTCTCCACTCCCCTCTCCTCTAAAACCCTCAGTTTGTCTCCCGGAGTCCATAGTCTCTTATGGTTCATCTCCCCTGTGATATCCCCCCCTTCAGTTTTCCCTTCTTTCTCCTAATGTCCTCCGTGCTATTCCTTATGTTCTGCAAATAAGTGAAACCATATGATAATTGTCTTTCTCTGCTTGACTTATTTCAGTCAGCATAATCTCCTCCAGTCCCGTCCATGTCGATGCAAATGGTGGGTACGCATCCTTTCTGAGGGCTGAGTAATATTCTTCCATTGTATATATTTATGAAAAGCAAGTGCGTGTTATTTCCAGCAAGGGCTGTCACTCAGCCTCCACCTGGGAAGGGCTCAGGCTTGCTGCTGCGCCTAGCTCCAAGCTCCAACAAGAGTCCCAGTGTGGTAACGCCACCTGGTCTCTCGGAAAGGAACACTTCTCCGTGTGGTGTCATGGAGCCTCACGCCTCATGTGAGGGCTTTTCTGGGCCTCCTGTCTCACTGTGCCTGGCAGTGTCACGTGGATGCTGATTGTCCTGTGGCCGTGGGAGCCTTCCACGGGATGCAGTCTCCAAGAGATGACGTGAGGTTGCTCTAACAGGTGGAGTTCCAAGTCCCCTCTTCAGGATGAAGCATCCAGGGAAGTAGGCTCCAAACCACGGGTGTGCTTCCCATTGCAGAATTCTTACCCCACAGAGACACAAAAAGGCTGAGCACTGTTGCTGGAAAAGGCATCGTGGCTGCGTGCTGCTCCCAAGCTTCCTGGCCACAGACATCCCTGGCCACGTCCACAGCGGTTTATCCTCTGTTTGGACTCAGCTGTGCCTTTTAGCAGCTGCCTCATCACGGGCAGGGGAGGGGGGAGCAACAGGGTCCCCAGTAAGCTTCCTTCATTTGGGGGACCATCAGAGATGGGGCGCCCATCTCTCTGGCCTAAGGAAAGCCTTAGCCATAGCCGTCATATGGTTAACGGATTTCAGCGGAGGCATTAGCTGGATTTCCAGAAGCCCCAGATTTGAGGAGATGCTGAATGCATTAGCTAACGTCTTGAGAAACACAGCCAGTGGGATTTGAGACATTTGCTATCTCATAGAAAGGCGAGTTTCTCTTAGGTAGAATAGAGGGGGTGGCAGCAGAGGGAATTCTTTCCAGTGTTCAAAGGGAGTGGAAATTTCTAATTCATGAGCCTGCAACAACATCGGGGGAGGGAACGGGGGGTGCCCCCTAGACCAGCGGTTCACAGTCCGCACAGCTCAGAGAATCCACAGGTCACTTTTCTAAAACCTGGAAATCTCCGAATCAGGGAGTGTGGGGGTGCTGCCAGCTCGTCTTTGCTCTTGAAGTTCCCTCAGGAGTTCTCCCATGCTAGAAGGAACAAAGATGGATGAGCAGCCTCACGGGCTGGATGGGGCGTGAGGGGCGCATACAGCATGCCCCTCTAGCGAAGAGTGCCCACGGGGTCAGAAAATGCGCCGTGCCCATCATCGCCAAGTCCTAGGGGAGGCTCCAACTTCACCAGATTCGGAGAGCATCCCCCGGCGGCCACACTTCAGAGCTTGGGACACAAGGTGGCAGAGAAGCATTTTGCAGAGAATGTTCTGCAGATTTCCAGAGAAGCATCCTGAGGGAAGGGCGCTGTCCCTAAATTACTTTGGGCCACACTGCAAGTTCCATCCCTACTTCTGCAGATTTTCCAGGCATAGGAACATATTTGCAGCCTGAGAATTGTCTTGTGAAAGAACTTTGTTCAGAGTCTAGCATGGCTGAAACATACTTTGGCCACAGAACCTTATAACCTACAGACAGCCCTTGTGGATCCCTGGGGACAGGCATGCTCTCGGCTGGGCTGACCTCCAGGCCTGGGGCAGGCTGCAGGGCCTGCCGCAGCACCCCCAGCACCGCTCCCTCCCCATCTGCATCGTTTCCTCGAGAAAACATGCACACACGTGACCCGGCACACCGTGTTCGCTCTGCAGATGTTTGTTGAATGAACTAGCAGATGTGAGAAGAGCTCAGATGATTCATTCAACACAGGCTTCTGTCCAGGACCCAAACAAGGCTGTCAGCCCCATCCTGCAAGAGAGGCTGGCCTCCCCTGAACTCACAGGTGATGGGACGGTCTGGTGAGGAAGATTAATCAGATAACCCATCTGAAAAACTTGGTCGGACCCAGCACACAGTCAGGACTTGGAACAGGTGTAAGGAATTATTTTCATTGCCAGTTCTCTTATGTCCAGCCATAGGGTCTAGCTAAGCCTGCTCTGACTGTGGAGTGGGCTTCAGGAGCACCCCTCTGACGGCCCCAGGACGACCACCAGCGTGTGTATCTGGAGCTCAGAGGTCTCGTACTGGCTGACTCGGCTGTGGACTTCGGCAGTGGGAGAGCTGTACCCCGGCGCTCTGGGTAGAGGAAATAGGTAGCTTGTGGCTCCAGGTGGAATCCGGACATCCCTGTATGCAGATTATTGCTTCATAATGCCCCTCTGGGCCTGGAGGGTGGATCGCCAACCACTGAGAATGGAGTGAGAGCAGCGTTTGCCCTCCCCAGCACGTGCACCGACTATAATAATACAAGCAGTCATGACTGAGGGCTCCTGCGTGCCAAGCGCTGTCTCCTTGAATTCCCATATGGCCCCATGAGGACAAATCATTGGCTTTCCCATTTGACAGGGAGGAAAATGGGATTCCAGAGAGTGAGTAACTTGTCCAAGATCTCACTACTAGTTAGGGACAGAGCGGAGCCTTGACTCCAGAGTTCGTGCTCCTTCTGCCACATCAGAGCTGCCCAACACTCAGGCAGGCAGAGAGCACAGTGCTCGGGCTATGTAGAGGAAGCTGTGGGGACCAGAGTCAGCATGACCGATGGACTTTGATGCTGAAGAAGATGGCAAGCCCTCTCCCCCACCCACTGTACCGCCACCCCAGTCAGGATCAGATATCTGAGCGGCAGTGTCTGTAATGCAATATCCTGTTTGCTTCTGTGTCCACTGGGCTCTTGTGATAGAGATCTTCTGCTTGAGTGAGAGGAAGAGGATGGGGAGAGTGGTCTGTGCATTGCATTTTCATATCCAGGACATGAGCCCATAAGGCAGCTTGGACCAAAACAGGATGGTGTTGGGGTGCAGGGGTGGAGCTGGGCACACTTGATCTCCTTAGCCCTCCTCGGGATGTGTGATTGCTCTGCACAGTGCTCAGGTTGGAGACCACAGAGGGAAGGTTCTGGGTTCTGGAACTGTTTGCTCCCATAATGTTGTATGGGCAGAGGTGAATTCCTGGAAGCCTGCTGTGTGGAGATTGGCACAGAGTGGGAGTGTCAGAGAGGTCCTCATGAGGTCCACAGCAGGGGGGGCGTCCTGTCCTGACAGGAAGGACTGTCTTTACTGGAAGTATTCCACAATGGCTGGAGGATGGCGTGGCCTCAAATGCTGGGAGTCCTGCACTGAGTGGAAGATTTGGCTTGACCACTCCTGAAGTCCTTTCCAGCTCGGAGATGCAACGTCCCCGAATTGTATGAAGGGGTTTAGAGGTGGAGTGTTGGCCCCACGTCACTCAGACCATGTGGTTCCAAGGACCCTGCCAAGAAGCACGATGTGCGGTACGGGCTCCAAATTGCATTTGGTGGTATAAAGTACATATTAAGGCCCATGACTGAGGCCATGAAGTTAGGAAGTCAGGCCAGGAAATGGGCCCCTGGAAAACCGGGAATCAGAGGTTCGTGGTGCCTTTTGGGGGTCAGCTGTGATGGGGCCAGCAGTGCTAAGAGAGCTCTGCCTTTCACTCACAAACCACCACCTAGGAGTCAGGAGATAGGCTGCCTCACGCCTGGGGAAGGGTGCATACTCACATGACGATGTGCAGGTCATGAGACACCCCCCACCCCAGGCTTCTCCCAATGGAATCTGATCCCAGCGTATCACCATGATGCCCACACTTTTTCGTAAGGCTTGCGGGGGAATGGCAACAGCTGAGAAGGGATAGATCAGCGGGACATTTGTATTAGTGAAGTACCAGCTGCTGTAATGAATGACCCCTGAGTACACGAAATGGCTCAGTTGTGATAGAAATTTATTTCTTATGTTAGGAACCTAAAACAGTTGCTACTGATTAGCCCATGGCTGTCCTCCAAGTTTGACTCAAGAACCCAGACTCCCTCCATCTTGTGGCTCAGCACAGGCCCTCCGAGATGGCCATGCCCCTCAAGGTGAAAGGGTTTGCAGGCTGCATGGTGGGAGGTTTCCTGCTCAAGCCTGGAAGTGAGCATAGGTTTCCACTCACATTCCATTGGTCAGCGCTCAGTTACTTGGCCAACAGCCAACTGTGAGGGAGGCGCGAAACTGTGCTCCAGCAGCAGACTCAGGAAGAGGAGGGAAGGGAAAGTGGTGAGTGGCAAGTGAATCCGTGTTACACATCTGCAGTCTTCACTCTCATTCTGGAAGACTCCTTTAACCAGCACTTACTTACTGAGGGTGAGCTCCAGTAGGCATGGGCACCAGGCCACACACAAGGCAGACCTGAGTGTTTCTGCAAGGAGCTGAAGAGGGAGGAAAATCCAAAAACAAGTAAGCAAGGAAATAATTAGGATAATTGCTAATTGTAATAGTGGTATTTTCTAAGAACTCTCAGAAGGCCTGTGCAGCTCATGCATTGTGAGCAGGCTTAAGGGAGACAAGAGATGAGCCTGGGGACGTAAGACGCAGCAGACCAAGGTCACAGCTGGGAGTATGGATTTTATTCTTGTGAGTTCTTGGTAGTTCCCAATCTTCCAGCTGAGAATAATGAAGAATGTGGGCTTTACTAGACATCTTGGATCTTTCTTCCATGTCCAGATGAGTATTAACATTTTATGGATCTTAGATAGCAGCTATGGGAGAAGTGAAAAGCATGCCAGGGCAAAGAAAGTAGAGTTGGCTCTGGTTAATGGGTACAGATGCACACGGGAATTTTGTTCGATGAGGAAGGGAAGGGGGATAAAATGTCTCCTAATCCCAGAGCCCTGATCCCAGATGCCTCACACCTGCAAGGGAGATCCGTGTCCTTCCCCAGTTTTGGCCGAAGCCACCACAACATGTGGATCCCTGTCAGTGTTCTAGAACCATCTTTGATAAGTCTGGTGACCCTTTGGGAGATTCAGCATCAAAGAATCCTAGGATTAAAAGAAAGGTTAGGGCGCCTGGGTGGCTCAGTGGTTGAATCCTCTGCCTTCGGCTCAGGTCATGATCTTGGGGTCCTGGGATAGAGTCCCGCGTCGGGCTCTCTGCTCGGCAGGGAGCCTGCCTCCTCCTCCTCTCTCTCTCTGCCTGCCTCTCTGCCTGCCTCTCTGCCTACTTGTGATATGTCTGTCAAATAAATGAAAAAAAATCTTAAAAAAAAAAAAAAAGGTTAAATATCACCTGTGCCCATCACCTGAAGCTTGAGTTCCCTCTACAACATCACCCAAAGTGGCCATCCGGCCGAAATTAGAATACCTCCCATAATGAGGCATTCACACCTCCCAACATCAGCCATTCCACCTTCAGCCAGTGCTGTTAGAACATTCTTTCTCTCCTTGTGTCCAAATATGCCTCCTTGTAACGCCTTCCTTTTGGTTCTCCTTCGGGCTCTGAACCTTGATGTTCAGATTGTCTTCCTTAGGATATTTACCATTTGTTGGTATCCAGAGAGTGGTAACTGGGTGCAGTAGTGGGAAGTGAGCATGACCTGGGCCCATCTGGACAAAGTGGGACATGATGTGGTCACCCCACAGATCTCTTTCAGAAAACGTGCCACTGACCACCGCGTGTGCCATGCCTGTGGCTGCAGCTCGTCGGCTCAGTGTTCAGGAGAAGGAGGTACTTGCCTGGTACCCACTTACCTCCAATGACCAGAGGGTGCTCCACAGCCCAGGGAAACTTATGTCGCCTCGGCAGATTAAAGGGTGTCAAATAGGTCTCAGCAGGCCTGCCCACCTGTTAAAGAGGGTCTTCTCTTTTCTCCCAGGGACTTTGTGAAGGCCTTTATCCAGTTTAAGAAGCCTATCGTTGTTGCGATCAATGGGCCTGCGCTGGGCCTGGGTGCCTCCATCTTGCCCCTCTGCGACATCGTGTGGGCCAGTGAGAAGGCCTGGTTTCAGACCCCCTATGCCACCATCCGCCTCACGCCTGCTGGCTGCTCCTCATACACCTTCCCCCAGATCCTGGGCGTCGCACTGGTAAGCCCCTTCGTTCCTCAGGCAAGATCCCTCTCTGGGAGAAGTGGCTTTGGGTCCCAACATGACCCATTCTCTGTCCTGGATTTGGGATATGGCCCTTCATATGAATAGGGAGCCCAGGGGTGCACCCGCCCTGTGGAAGCTGCTGAGTGTCTCTACTTCCTCTGCCCTTCCCAGGGGACCTGGGATGAGGTCAGGCTAATCTTAGAGCCTTCAACCAGGGGTACCAGATGCCAGTGGCAGGTGTGACCAAGGGTCGAGAGCATGATGGGATGTTCACTATCAAACGTGTACTTTGTTCCCCTAAGTTAACATAATTCAGTTAGTTTAAGCACTTAACTAGTTAAAGCACATAATAGTTTAAGCTAACTAAACTAAGTTCGGGTCATTTACTTAAGCAAACTTTGCCTTCGTTATGTCATTTATTCTTCACAACAACCTGATACGAAGAGGGCCCGTCTGCTATAGCAAACAATCCCGCAGTCCTAGGGTCCAAACAGCAAAAGTTTCTTTCTCATTCTTGCCGCATCCAGTGTAGCTGTAGTAGCTGTCCACACTGCCTGGGGTCGGGGGCGGGCGGCCCCGTCATCTTCCATCTGGTAGACCTGCCTTTGCTTCCAGTGAGTGGGCATGAAGAGGGAGCCTGGAGGTTTTCCGGGGCCAGGCCTGCAAGGGGCATCTTCACCCCCACTCCCATTTCATCAGCCAAGATTCAGTGGTGTGGCCACACCCACCTGCAAGGAAGGCTGGGAAGTGTAGTCTTGCTGAGTGTCCCAGAAGCAGGAAGGGCTTTGGTAATCACAGGCAGTCCCACTTAGAGAACCTGTGTTATGGTCTCCATGACACAGATGGCAAGCTAAACTGGAGAAGTTAGGGAACTTGCTGTGTCATGTGTCAGTGAGCCGTCAGAGTGGTATTAGAGCAAATGGTGGAGTCCACTGTAGGCTGAAGTCAGATTCTGGACCAGCAGCCAGGGGCGAGTGGTCAGGGGCCTCTTAAAAAGCACACACGATGGCCAGTGCCTGAGAGCCATTAACTCAGGGCGTCCTCCTACAACCCGGGAAGGTAGGACAGTTGTTATCCCCACTTGACAGATTGGAGACTGAGGCTCAGAGAGGGTGAGTTGTCCAGGGTCATACAGTGGGAGTGGCAGTCATGGGATCAGAACACAGATAATCTGGTTTTGGAGTCTGTGCTCTTAACCAGTAGGTCATAAAGTAGGACCTACATCCGAGGAGTAAGTCTGAAATTGGGGGTCTCTGAAAGACAGTATTGACTGAAATCAATTTGCATCTTACCGTAACAGCCTGTCCCTCTAAAGGTGCCTCCTGCAGACCAGTTCTAGAGAGTTCCAGCACCCACGTGTAGGTGTCGCTGCTATAGTATTGAAGAAGAAACCTGTCACATTGCATTGCGAGGGACAGCTGTGACCTCCTATTTGCTGAACCCGGTGGGCCCGTGCTTAGCTCTAACACTGTTTGCTTACTCCGCTGTGACAGATGCTCCTGGAAGCTCTTTCCTCCATCCTCACCATTCCTGACTTCTCCTTGGCCCTCCAGTAATTTATGTTTGTTTCTTACAAAGCCTTAGATGGGTCTTGTGGTTTGAATTTGGGCTCTTTGGCACAACTCAAGTGTGTTTTAATGACCCAGCCCTTCTTGTTCCGTTTCCTACTTGGTCTCTGGCCTTGACATTCACAACCCCCAATTCCAAAAGGTAACTCCCAGGTGATCCTGAAGGCCCGTGGGGTCAGCACAGTCGCCATCTGCTTTCCTGACGCAGCAGACTGAGTTCGGTGCCTCTTCTGTCCTTAAGATTCCCAAGATTCTCCCTCTCCGCACCCCAGGCTGAGGTCAGTGGGTGAAACCCTCAGGTGCCAGGTGCACCGGGACTTAGGGAGTCCTCACTAAAGTGTGGCTGGTTCTGAGATTCTGCACAGGGATGCCCAATCATTTTGACGCTCCTGATGTCTCTTTGAGATACCGTTCTGAAAAATGTGTCCCCCGTGTTGCCTTACACACTAAAACCACATGGGCTCTCTGATGACCAAGGATTGAGTGGGTTATCCCAGCAAGCTTCTCTAAGCTTGTACTGAGCACCTCCTACCTGGTGGCCATTTTACTGGGCACTTTCCACGGGATGGTCTCATCACTTTTCTGAGCATCTGCAAGGGTAGGTCCTCTTGCTCTCCATTTTATAGATAAACTGAGGCATGGAGAGTTGAGAGGAAATTCTGGAAGATGTCGCTCCTTCTTTGAGCCCACAAACCCAAGTGAGATTCCAGTAGGCAACAGGCATTACCTTACCTGCTTGGAAGTACAAAGATGAGTAACAGGGAAGCTCCATCCTTGACAATCCCGCCCGTGGGCGATGATGCATGGCTGGTGTGGTGTTTCTCTGCTCTTTTGTTATCTCATCGGATCCTCCCAGGTGGTAACTTGTGCCCACTTTAGAGATGAATAAACAGACTCAGAGAGGCAAGAGATTTGCATAGGGTCTCAGGCCAAAGCAGAAGGCAGAGCAAGGTTGTCTGATCTGTGCTTTTCTCTACCCTCATCCTGTAAACCTTGGCCTTCCCATGAGGGGAGGGGGGTTCCTATGCCAGTAGCCCTACTGCTGGACTGGGATAAGATTCAGGGGTGGTTAGAGAAAGCTCCCAGCAGGGGTACCTCCTGAGTGAGTCTGGAAGAATGGGAATCCCCATTCTACGCCTTCTGTATGGGCTTTGTCACTCTTTGAGGGTAGCATGAAACAGGAAGAGAAACCATGTGATCTGTGGAGACCACCAGCAGCCTCACACCCACCAGAACCACCTTGTTTCTGCAGCAGGGCCCGCAGCTGGGATTGGGGAGGCCATTCGGATTCCAGGACTTGGGGTTGGGGCTGCTCGAGGCTGCTCACAGTCTCACCAATGGAGAAAAATGAGGGAGGCAGGGAGGCCAGGAAGCAAACACTTTCCCTTTTGATCTCGGCCACCGTGCTCTGCCCAAAGTCAGTGCCACTCCCGTTCCTCCCTGTCCTTTGTGGTGGCAAAAATGTGTCTAGTGTACAGTCTTATCTCTTTCTGTCTCTCTATTATTTCAATCATTTCTGAAACTCCAAGAATGTTGCTGACGGAGACGTGTTCTTGCCAAGTGTGTCCCATTCGGCTCCTTGTGTTGTGCCCCTTCCTTTCGTTTCTCCTTCCCGAGACAGAGGTGTTTCTAAATAAGTATAATGACAGAGATTTGTCTTCAAACCTCCAACCAAATGCACGCTGTAGGCTCATTACCAGCCTGATAAATTTCTCTACTCTGGCATGAAAGATTGTCCTTTGGGTCATCATGACCCATCAGTGACAGCGAGAACAAAGGGGAAAAAGACACAGAGATCCAGCAGCCGAGAGAGCCTGGCGTTTCCACATTGATCCAGGAGCGGCCCAGCACATAGGGGCAGGCAGATGGATGGCAGGTCAGGGAAGGGATTGCCTGCTGCATGAAGGAGGTGGGGATTTATTCTGAAGGAGATAGGGACTCCATCCCATGGTGGTGACCATTATACCCTAATTATCAGCAGGAGAGTCACTTGGCAAGTTTTAGTGGTGACTGCACTGGTCTGTCTTTGCCTAGGACCTTATCCATCAGGCTCATCCCAGGGCACGCATGACAGCTGTGAAGTACAAAGCAAATGGAAATTCTCTGGGGAGTGGGGTGTGGAGGAAACCGCAGAAGTCGGGATGGGAGGTGGTCAGGTGGGGGGATGTTTTCGCCCTTCGCACCTGGGCAGAGATGTGCGCAGCTCTGGGCCACCAGCAGAGATGCGGCTCTCTGCATTGGTGTGTGGTAGTACTGAGGACCTTTCTGGCTGCCAGGGATGGAGACACTTTTAACGGGCTTCATGCGGGAAGAAAAGAATTCAGTGGTGGCCATAACTTGCCCGTGCAGAAGTGGAGTCTTCTTTGGAGTTGCTGGGATCCCACATCCCAGCTCAGTCAGGAAACCTGTTTTCCATCCCTCCTCTCTTTACGGACCCACTTCTCCAAAGAGCGGAGATATAGCAGTGGGGGACCATGGACTCCCTGACTTCCGCATGCAATCAGCCAGAGAGTGCGTCTTGGCCATCGCCTCTAGCTGGGAAACCTCGCGGAGAGCTTTATCACCCAGGGCACATATCTGTTCCTCTGTGGACCCGTTGTCATGGTTGGGGTGTCAGCACTGAAGTGTACGTCTTGTGGGTCTGCTGCCGGATGTGGGGAGGGCTGTTGGGCAGACGAACCCACAGGTGGTATATGGCTTCCTTTGGGAATTTGAGGAAAGCTGTGGGCCCTCTGCTCAGGAAGATGCACCTGGGCACAGATGTTTGTAGGTAGTTCCCAAAGCTTATCTGACCCCCCAGTTGAGAGCTGAAATTAGGGAAGCAGGACAGTGACACACGGCAAGCCCAGGCCTTGCTAACAGACGTACGAGGCACTCTGGGCTCTCAGCCTTCCCCTGCCTTTGCTTTTTTCAGGCCAACGAGATGCTGTTCTGTGGGCGGAAGCTCACCGCCCAGGAGGCGTGCAGCCGGGGACTTGTGTCCCAGGTCTTTTGGCCAACCACGTTCAGCCAGGAGGTCATGCTGCGGGTCAAGGAGATGGCCTCCTGCAGCGCGGTGGTAAGTTCCTGTGTCTTTGTGTGCTTGTCCTTGCAACAGACCCATTTTACAGATGAGGGTAATGAGGCTGAGAGGGACCAACTGACTTGCCACAGGTCACGCAGGGTATGTGTGTAAGACCGTAAATGCCTCCTCTCGGGGTCGAGAGTTTATATCCAGGGACGAGCAGTCGGCATTCGTAGAGATTCCCTGTCATGGCCAGCCTGAAAAACTCACTGAAGAGATTTACACCCTGGGGTAGAGTGCGTTGCCTTAAAAGAAAGTCCCAGACAGACACACACAGAAGCACAAAACATCTGTAGTTTTCAAAGAATATGAGAAACAAAGGCACATGAGGACAAAGGGTGTTAAACCGTCCTGGAGATGAGAGAAACCAGGGCACTCCGACCTCACATTTCATTTCTACCCACCGAGTGTGTGGCACATGTGAGCATCACCGTTTGACTCTGAAGACACATTGGAACATGGATAAATACGAACGCCTCTGCGGAGGCGCCAGATTTTAATTAAGTGTCGATTTTATCTCAGAAAGTCACTCTGGGTGCGGTGTGGGAAATCCTATGGGAAGGTGGAGCAAAGGCCGCTCCTGGAGCTGCAGGGCCGGTCTAGGAAATGAGAAAGTTGACTTGGGAGAATAGGATTGGGGTGTTGGGGGGGTCTCTGTCTGTGCTTTGAAGTCAGGGACGTGCTGGGCTGGATTTATGGGGTCAGACCCGTGAGTGTCCCTTCCTTCTCTCCGTCTGTGCTAAACCCCCCACCAGCAATGTCCCGGCTACCATGCCTCTCCCCTTCCCCCATGCCCCAGCTGCCATGCCACTGCCCCTCCCTGCCGCCCCCAGCTGCCATGTCTCTCCCAATTTGCCTCATCAGCCTGGACTGGGCACCTACTGTGTGTAAGCTCCACCCCCAGGAAACCTGACCGTGCCAGTAATGGTGATGGTGATGGAGAGGTGATGGGCCTGTCGTCGGTGATCACGTATTGTGAGCCACGAGCTCTGCCAATCTCTGTACGAGGACTGTCTTTTCATCTTCCTGCTAACTGCTGTGACCCACTCATCCCACTTTGCTTGGGACTCTCCTGCTTTCAGCACTGGGAATCCCACGTCTGGGACTCCCCCTGGCCCTGGGCAAACAGGGACAGTTGGTGAGCCTAGGATCAGCTGCACGGAGAAGCCCGTAGACGTTCTAAGCTGAGGGCATGTGAGCGCGAAAACTCTGGGGAGTTTGGTGGTGGTGGAAGCAGGTTCACAGGGTGTGGGAGGGACATTCACGTTGAAAAGGAAAGCAGAAGAAAGGCCTCAAAGCTCCATCGAGGAGTCTGGTGTTTGGGCAGTGCGGGTGCTCAGGCGAGCAAGCTGTGGAAGAAACACTGCAAGGTGGTCTCTGCTGTCCACAGTGGTGAATTCAGGAGCTTTGGGGTGAGTCGCTCGAGAAAGGACTCTGCGACCTGGGAGCTGGTGTTCTTCGGGGCACCTCTTGTGTGGCGGGAGGTGGCCTTGGTCTGCCGGCCCATTCTCACTCCCCTTGGCCGCCAGCCCAAGCCGAGGAGGAAGAGCCCAGCTTCATTCTGGCCTGCGGGAGCCCGGGAGCCCTTGTCCTGCATTTTCCGCTTGAGAGCACTTTGGGAGAGCGTGAAGCGAAGCCTTGACGTCAGCAGAGGGGCTGGAGGCCAGTGGGAGGATGGAGGATGCTCGGGTCCTCAGTGCCCCCCACCCAGCATCTGCGGCAGAGCAGGGCAGCGCCCCCAACCCCAAGCCAGGTCAGCCACACATGCCGAGCAGCACGGGCGCCTTCCTCCTCGGAGCTCAGGCCCTTGGCCGTAGCGTGCAGATAAAAACACCACCTCCGTGTGGGACTCCCATGAGGACGGACGGAAAGAGCGCAGGGAGAGCGCTTCTCATTCGTACTTCTGCAGCATTGCTGCTGTCACCGCGATCAGTACCTTGCTGTTACTCATGCCTGGGATGATTTTTACTGTGGCTACATTATTACTGCCATGCCCCTAATATCACTGCTCTTGTTGCTGTGTTGCTACCGTAATACTCTAGTATCATCCCCGCCACATTACTGACGTTCCCAGCGTTACTGCTGCTGTGATACCGCAGCGTTATTACTGCTGTCGCCACCGCAATTACTGCAATTTTTCATCCTCCCGACTGCAGTGATGGCCAGCGTTCTTGCTGCTGCTCTTACTGCTAAAGCCTAAACAAGAGGCACTCTTGGTGGGGTAAGTCCTCTGGCTACTCTGAGGGCCATCACTCCATTATCTTACTCTGTGGTGCCACCCGTCCTAAGGTAGGCCTCATTGTCACCGTGGCGCAGGTCATCAGAGTGAAGCATGGGAGGTGAAAGCATTGTTTCCCAAACTTTTGCATGACACCCATAGAAAATGATTCTGAGTTTATGTCACCCTTCGGTCCAGGACAAAACTCCGCCATGCTGGGGACTGAGGCCTCAACCCCTTGGCACGCCTGGAGCCCATTCCTGGCATTGCTGGGGACACGGGCCTGGCAAGTTCTAGAAGACAGCAGGCAGCCTCCTCTGGCTTTGGACGTCGGAAGGTTAGCTAGTGCCTCCTAGGCCAAGTCCATTCTTCTGGAGCAGAGCCCCTGGTGCCGGCTAACGAGGCTTATGCATTTCCCTTCAGGTGTTGGAAGAGTCGAAATGCCTCGTTCGGAGCTTCCTGAAGTCTGTGCTGGAAGGTGTGAATGAGAAAGAATGCCTCATGCTCAAGCAGCTGTGGAGCTCCTCCAAGGGCCTGGACTCCCTGTTCAGCTACCTGCAGGACAAGATCTATGAAGTCTGAAGAGCCCCGCCCACCCGCCCCAGCACTCAAGGGCACCGGACTTCCAGCCTGGCCCCGTGCTTCCCAAATCTGAGCACGGTGTGCGCCGGCTAAGGAGTTTGTCAAGGTGTCTCTCTTGTGTCCATTTCCTCCTGTCCTTTGGTTGCTCCGCATTGGTTTGATGTTGTATAACAGATGGGAAATGCAGCATACTCGGCCCCCTGCACCGTGTCCCCCCGCCCCACCCCCCTCCCTGCACTGGCCAGAGAGCTATCGAGGGCTATATCTTCCCAGGCCTCTGCCAGACTCTGTTGTCCTCTCCCCACTCGCTGAAATGCACCATCCTGGTCCAGGAAGGGGAAGGTCAGCTTTCCCCATCCTTCTGACTCAGGCTGTGTCTACACAGTGCCTCTGCTTTGGAGACTTGGCTATAAGGCTCTCTCTGGTTAAGTGCAGATCCGGTGACAGGGGACGATCAACTTAGGGAATTTCCAGACCGCTGAGCAAAACGGTTGTGTAGAGCGAGCCTCAGTCTTCTCTCTGATGCAAATCTGTGTGACTTTTAGGGCTTGGTCTTAAAACCCAATTGAGTGATTTGCAAACCCAGATATTGTACGTTTAGGAATGTTTTGTTAAATATATATTTTTAAAACAATGTAAGTGGAAATTCTGATAATTTATGTGTATTATATGTAAAGCTAGTTTTACAAAAACATGAACTACTAGGAAATTTTTTTCTTTAATCAAAGTTATTTAATTTATTTATTTTTGTTTATATATTATGATATCTGTCGTTGGCACAGATACTATTTTCATACTGCCCTGGACCAAATCCCATACAAGGTTCATGCCGTTTGGTGCATTCTAGCAATGAACCACGCAGAAATAAAATTCGGAGAGATGTAAATGGAAGGATCCCTGTGGATAAAAGGAATAGCTCTGCACCAGATCCTCCTCACGTAAATGGTTCTCAGCCATTTTATTATTCAATAATAATTGAATACCCATTCTTAGGAGAAATTATGGGAGAGTTTTCCCTTCACCTCTGCCGCCTTGGAGGAAATAAAGGGGCCTCCAACCTGAATGGTACTGAGATATACCCAGTCCCAAATTCATGACGTCAGGAAGAGCTAATGGGTCCTGCCTAGGGATTGCGTATTGTCTAGAGTGAGCCTTTTGTCTTTGGGGCAAATGTCTGAACTTGGATTTCAGAGTCCATTTCTTCCATTTGGACCACTTTGTCTGGTTTTGGCCTTCCACGTGAGGTCAGGGAAGAGCTCCCACTCTGCTGAGCCGTCAGTAGGTCTCAATCATTACGTGTCTAGAGGCACAGAGGATCTTTTTTCTAGTCATTTACTTACATCAGGGAGAAATAACCAGGGATGAGGTCTCCTGTCCCAGGGCCCCTGGGCTGCATGGGGACCCCAGCATCTGAATTTAGACCATCATCCCAAAGTCCATGAATCAGCTGCAGAGAAGGGGTGGGGGTTGGTTTGATGGTTTGAGTTGATGAAGAGAAAGGTGGACCTCGGGTTTGGAGCAGAGGAATGACAGGAGCGTGTTCTGCATGAGGCTCGACCCTCCTGGGGGTCAGCAGATCCTAAGAGTGGTGGGATCGTTCCATGTCCATCGCAGCCCCTGAGTATTCTCAGAGGCCTCCTTGCCTGCCTCCCTCTTCTCCTTCCCTGTGTGGTCGCCAGCCTGTCTTGGCCCTTGTTGGAGACAGTGAGTGGAGCAGGGAAACGCTGGGCATGGTCGGGGGGAGGGGAGGCCAGCTGAGAACAGGGAGGCTGTTGCCACAGTTTTCCATCTGCCCTGTGTTAGAAGAGCGGGTTGAGTGTCTACAGTAAGGCTGGAGACATGATCCTGTAGACAGTGAAATGTGACTTTCATCTGGGTACGATCCCTACAACGGCCTTGGTTCTCTCTCTAGAAAGCCCCTCTCCTTATGATCCTTCCCCATTGGAAGGATCTCCAATGATAGGGTAAGAACGTGAAACCATTACGAGGGTAGAATTCCTGCTGTTAATTTGTAGGTTCTGGTTATAACAAGAGGTGTTTTGAAAGACGGTCTGTGTTTTGGTTGTTTCTACACAGTCAGTTCAAGGAGGATGTTCCACAAATTGGACAAAAGTAGGTGGAATCTGCTTGCTGCTGGGTAGATTGCATCACTGAGTTCTCTACTTTCCGGATGGTTGCTTGATAGTTTGGAGATGAAATCCAGGTAACTTTTAGCAAACCAACCTGGGATGGAAAATGCCAGACCTGTGGATGCGTCCGGGTTTACCCTAAGAGCTTTCTCAAGACAGGGGGCTCAGGCTTTCACTTTTTGTCTTTGGTCACAGCGCCTTCTCTCCACCCATAGGATCCCTTCTCCCTTCTCTTCACTCTGCCTTGTCTCCAGCCCACCCTATGTCTGTCCCTTCGCAGAGCCTGGGCAGGGCTTTGAGGAACTGCCTAGTCTTGGCAGCCCAAGCCCAGAATTCACCTTGGGGTTGGAAGAACTGCTGTGGGTGGGAAGTGAGGGTACTTCCTCAGTGGAGGAACCTTGTAGGTAACCCGCTCTTTGCTGTCCTGCAAACCCCGCATTAGACTCCCTCCCACCACTCTGCTCTAGGCCTGGGTGATTAGCACCCAGCGTCCTGTAATGGTGCCAGTGGAGTTAGCAGCCCCCTTCCAAGAGGACCCTGCAAACTTTGCCAAGGTGGTCAGAGCTGCCCCCCATTCGGAAACCACACACACAAATGATGATGTACCCACATGTTCCTTCCTGCTTTTTAAATAATGTCTGTGGGCAAAGACCATCAAGAATTACCCTCTGAGAATGGAATCGGACAGCACTGAGAAGGTAGTAGAGAACTGATTTAAAACGTTCTACTTGTTCATTATAGATTAAACTAGGAAATGTTCTCTTTGAAGCATGATGATGTTTCTTCCATATGAAGTTTAGTATCAGGATGGAAAAATAATGATCAAAATGGACTCTGATCAATGCAACTGCAGCTCTGAATACCCACATTGAAAAAAGCCTTGACTGAATGCTGAATTGCATTTCCCATTAATTGTTGGTTTAAAAGATTTTGTAAACTTTTTTTAATTTGAAATTGAGTCCCTTTCATGCAATTTTCCAATCTAGTTTCTGTGGAAATTTTTTTAAGAGAAACAAATAGAAACATCTTCAAATCTTCCTAAGTGAATATTTAAAATGCAGAATTGCTTCTCTTCTCTGTTTCTGTATTCAGACACTTAGATCTGTTGTACATATTAGTTTAGACGCTCCTACTAATACACACAGTATTTAAGACTCTAAATGAGATTTCTTAAGTATTTTATTTTATTCTCTGTAAATGGTTTTGTATAATCTTTAAAAATCTACACTTTGCCTTTGTAGATATTTAAGGGAAACCATTTGGGGGTTGTCTTGCATGTATATTTTTGTTGTAGACAAGTGTTGCTCAGTTATTTCTGCAAATTTTGGTTGAAATGCTTACAGACTTTAATACAGTATATATTTTCAGAATATAAACTTTTATATTTCTGTGGTAAGTTAGGATATGCGTTTTGGGCAATCTTTTCCATTAACATCACTTGTTCTTTCAAAAAATAGCATACTGGTTTGTTGCCAATGGGATTTATTTTATTTTTTCATTAGAATCTACTGATCTTACGTGGTTGGAGAGCAGGTTAATTTTCTTTTTGTCAGAGTAATTGAGTTTGAAGTATAATTTGAAAATGTATTGAATTTGTGGATAAGCCTTACCATTAGGATCAGTAAAATTTCCAACCCTTGCAACTACGTATGTAGCTGAGGACCTCCCCATGAAGTCTCACTGTGTGGCAGTTGATAGAGTCTGTGAACAGAGCCTTAAGCTTGTTGCAAAAAAAAAAAAAAAAAAAAAAAAATGGTAATACGGGTTGTTGTTTCTTCCAAGCAACATAAGCCGTGTTGACGGACTCAACGCAGTCTGTAGGTCATGGCTGATGTGAAGAGTTTGGTTGAGCTGATGGCAGCAGGAGCCAGGTAGGCAGCTTGGTGATTGTCTTTGGCCATATGAATGGACCAAGGGCAGGTTTTCTGGAGCCCTCTTTGTACTATTCGCATGGTTTAGACATGGCCACAGGGAGGGCTGCTGGTCCACCATTTGTTCTGAACAAATGACATTTCCTGCTCCTGACCTTGGCGGTTGACCCCGGGTCCCTCGTGGATGACCTGGAACCGGCCAGCCTGACTGAGGTCAGCACTCCTTGAGAGGTGTTAACAAAGTTTACGTGTGAGTCTTAACTGTGTAGACAATCTGAAGTCAATTTCAGTTATGTAATCAGCATTCCCATGTGTCCCGAGTGTCTTATCAATGAACTATGTGTGTGAAGCCATACTTAAGCCTGAGTTTAGCAGGGCAAAGGCAGACTAGATGAAGAACGTCACGTCAGCTGAGGCCGTTAACCCATGGCTGTTGTAGTGAGTCTAAGTCACGGGGCTTGTCGGTCGTGCATCCGCTGTGTCTGGGATCTAATAAAACCAGCCAGGGTTTGGACTTAGATTAAAAAAAAAAAAATCATGATTCCTTTCAGTTGGCCACACTTCCCTAGCTACCAGCTGATTCTCCTTCCTATTGCTTTCAGGATGACTGGAGACCAGGGCTGTCATGTGGCTAATGTCAGGTTATCTGAGCGCATCTCTAGTAAGTAAAGTCTACTGCCAGGGTGGAGATTGGCTTCCCAGGTCTGCAGTGTGTGTGCAGCCCAAAGAACTGAGGTCTGGTCTGAAGCCTCCGCTCGTGTCTGTCCGGGCTGACCCTGCCTCAGTGGCCCAGCACCTGAGCTGATGCTGGCGCATGCTTGTTCAGGGGACTCCGGGAAGCTGGGAGGGTATAGAGTGTTCCATCTGGTTTTAAGTTTGTCCCTGTGCCATTAGTCCCAGCTGGAAGTCATTCGCTGATGTCCACGTTGACAGGATTGTGAAAATATTGCCTTTCATAAAACCAAGGACCAAAGAATTCCATTAATCCAACAAAGCGCGTGTTTCATAGACGGTGGGCTCATCCAGCCCGAGGTGTGCATTGCTTTAAGGCCCAGAGAAGCTGCTCACTTCCACCAGCCTGGCTGGCCATGCAGACAGATTTGTTACCACCTTGAGAAGGCTCTGAAAGATGAGTTTCTCCCACTGAAAGTTGCTCTCTCAGGTGGGGGTTTCTGCTGTGCACTCCCAGCCTTTG